CCAGTGATGTTTAAGAGAGTTTGTAACTGTTCAGTGAGACAGTGATTTGTTTTTTGTATCTCCAGCAAAAGGGCCAAACTTCTTAGTTACCATCAATCCAATGAGATCTTGTAAGGTGACTGAAAAGTGGCTTCTCTGGGCATGTAGAAACCCGTATTTTGGAACTGTTTTAAGCTTGTGCTGTTCATCCCACTGGGAGAGGAGAGTTCCTGTTCAAACAATGTTAAGTTCTCATATTCTGGCCTGAAGGGATGCTGTCACAGGTGCAGGAGTGACTATTGCCTATTTGTGGCCTGAGCTGTAATTTCAGAGGCAAATTGCACAACTGAGGAAAAGAAGGAAACCTGCCTGAGATAGGTTGATGTGTTTTATAAAAGGGTAGTGAAGTAGCTCATTAATGTAGAAGTTAAAAACACTCCCAGCAGAGGAGAATTAGAAGCCAGAGTGCTGTCAATATTATGAAATAAATAATGTATATTCAATCAATTCAAGAAGTATAAACTCCACCATGTTGCACTTCATGTGCACAAGGTCCATTGTCATCCTCCAAATGCTTGTTAAAAGGCACATTCCCATATGTGTATTCCAAATGGCTGTAGCTGAGCAATATCTATTACAATGTCATGTAACCAGCCCAGAAGGCCTCTGTAGAAGCACAGGAAAAATGCTGTTGCCCTTGTTGTAACTCCTAAAATATAGATTTTTTTGACAGTAAAAAGTTTGGGGTGTGAGAAGAGAGAGAGACCAGAAAAAACAAAAAAGGCAACCAGAACAATCCAAGCCGAAGCAATGCGCTGGAGAAGGACTGAGTCATCTGTTGATGACAGAAATCATTGTGCAACTTCAGTGTTCACTGAGAACTTGATTAAGGCTAGGTCATTCTCGCTGAAATTTTCTAGACTGTGTTTTCTGAGCTGATTCCTGTTTTGAAGGAACATGGTAACCCCAGATGGTGGTTGACATGCTATTTCCCGCTCTAGTTAAACTTCTTCATTCGTCATTGAAAAGCAAATGCAGTTTGAGATGCGCTGGGCTTGCCTTCTGCATTTACTCCCTGATGGCTAGCTCTTTGCCAAGTTTTTTATTTAGCCTCGTACTTGACTCTCAGTCTGAAGTGCAACCACGCTTGGGTTCAGAGCCCTGTCAGGATGACAGAGGGTTCCTGTCTTCCCTGTATATTCACAGTATTGAAAAGGTAGTGAAGTTTTATTGCTTGAACTGTAGAGTTTGTGGTTGAATCTGAGAAGATGCCAGTGTATCAGGAGTTACAGTTAATAGGGAGTCTGTCAAGAGGCATAGGTTGTTTTCTGGTAAAGTCAGACGGAGTTCATACTGGTATGAATTTTAGTAGTATGGTAGGATTCTGTGTCCATATTAGTCCTGTAAAAGCAAGGGCTGTGCTCTGGACTGAGACCTTTGGAAATGTTGAGATATAAATAGTCAGATTCCCACCCTGAAGTCTTTGGTGGCTGAAGAGAAGACTGTACCTGTCTAGTGTAGTATCTTTGATTAAGTGCAATAGCAGCTTCTTGGAAACTGCAGTCAGGTGTCTTTGGCTGATGTTTTCCAAGAGCTGGAGATACTTCTTGCATGCAGAAGACCGTCAGGACTGCAATTCACACATCATATGGGCAGTATGAGGACTGCAGCTTATTGGGTGGTTTTTGAAGAAAAGTTTTTTTCATTTAATTTCACTAGAATTTGTGTGCTTGTCCAATGCAGAATGTTTCAGGGGCACTGTGTTGATTTCATGGACGATCTGCTAGAAACCCAGCAGATTGCTGTGACTCAGTCCTGCCTGTCACGTGTTTGCGTGCCCATAGCCTGTGGTTGCCATAAAAGGGGGCTGCCTTGGGCTATGCAATCCCCGAGTAGACCCTGAGCCCTGTCAGCCAAACCTCCAACAACCTGTTCGCTCCGGGCTCCTGACCTCTCCTTGAAAATACAGTAATGCACAAATGGATATGATCATCTAGGACATCAAGACCGTCCTAATTTTCACGGACAGTCATCCGTTTCCTCCCATAATAATCAAGCCCCACCTACAGCTAAGTAACTTTTTTTGGTACTTGTTACTCCTATTTAGAGAAGTTAAACAGATGGAGGCCTTCCAGTGCCCTCTTGCAAAGCAGACTTGTCATTTCTTTGATTAGCTCTATTCTGTACTTGTGGAATTTGATCTTTATGTTTCTGAAAGTGCCTGATGAGAACTGTACAGACCGCTGGAAATGCCTCCAGAATAAATTCATTGACAGCTTGTATGCCCAAAAGGTGTGGCTGACCTTTGTGCATAAAACAAAAACTGTTATGAGGCCCAGATGAGACTTGAGCCATCCATCAGCTTTGCGTGTGAGTCTTCTTGAATATCACGAAACCAGATTATGGACTTTTTGATTGGGAAAGTAACTGTGATGGAGTAATGAGGGAGGAGTGTTTCACCTTTTTGATCTGAGGAACTTTTAAAAACAGGTTTTTCTTTCTGAAACTGAGAAAAACACAGACTGAAAAGTTGGCACAACTGAGTGAGGACTAGGAGTGATTTGCAAGTATCCAGATATATTCTTCCATCTGGTATTTCCACTTTATTTGTTTTTAATTAACAAGCAATACATAAGAATCAAAATAACATGTTTTCATCTCAACGCTGCTCATAATAGGATATTCGTTCCTGGTTATTCTTTTCCTACAAATAGTGACATGACTTTGGGGTTGTTTTTTTTTTTTTCCCTTTGATTGAAATATTTAAATATTGAGAACTTACTTTCTCACTTTTGCAAAAAAAATATGGAAATAAGAGTTGTGTTTTAAATTAATAAAACAGATAGAAACCTGCAGGCCTTGCAGCTGCATTCCATTGTGCTCAACAGGTATACTGTCTGTTTTCAGAACAGTAGCACACTCATTAAAGCAGTGAATAAGAACGTTTGCTGTATCTCTGTAAGCCTGGCAGCTCCCTCCCTCTTGTCAGCTCTTTATTTTGTGCTCTCTGTCACTCTTAATCCCCTGTCCTGCCTACTAAATTGCAGCTTCCTCCATTAATCCCCCTGCTGTGCAGTTCTCTCAGGTTTTTCTGAAAGGCTTTAAAGAAAATCCAAGTATCACACATATTACTCCCACTGCTAATTCAGTTTCTCCTCCTTTAATACTGCTACCTGCATCAGAAACACGCTTTCCTCTTTGAAGTATTTATCTGTTCCCCAGGGTGGATGGTTCTGCACTTTGATCATGGTCTCTTCAAATCCTTCACCTGTTTGCTAGCTCCTTCCAGGCTCCTTCAGGAGACGGGGTGCCTAGCTATAGGATGGCCTCTGTAACGCTGTGCTATTTGTGCTCATTTCCCTCTGGCCTTTCCTCTCCCTTTCCCCACAGCTGATTTTCAATTCTCATTTATTTCTTTTGCCCTCTTTTCTTCTCTTTTCTGCACCAGCTCACACACTGAGCGGATGCTCAAGCATGCCCTGCAGCCTCCCGTTCACGAAAGTCAGCCTTCAGTGGGAGCTGTGGAAGGTTAACACTACTCACGCCTGTGTTTCAGCTCTGGTGTCAAGTTGCCTTCTCTTGGGTGCCTGCACTGGGGTGTTGCCAGTCCCTAGGTCCTGCAGTCCTCCTCCTTCCAGACCAAAGCAGAGCTCTGTTTATAGGCACAGAGGCCTCAGTGAAGTGGAGGGGCTGTGCACTAACTCTTTTTTTCAGACATTGGAACAGGCTGCCCAGGGAGGTGCTTGAGTCCCCATCCCTGGAGGTGTTCAAAATCGTGTAGATGTGGCACTTCAGGATATGGTTTAGTAGGAATGGTGGTATTGGGTGGATGGGCGGACTTGATGATCTTACAGGTCTTTTCCAGCCTATTATTCTGTGATTCTTTTTGCCAATGATTAAGGCAAGGCCTGACAGTCTACTGCCTGACTCACCTGCTGCCCCTTGGGTTAATTTAAATAGTCTGGTGGGGAGAACATTTGCTCTTGAGCAACCTGGAAGAGAGCAACAGTTTCCTTATGCTATTGAAGAGCAGTCAGTGCACAGCTGGGAAACGCTATGCTTCTTGGAGGACAAGCAGGAGCTGACTGGGCAGGCTGTGACTCCTATCTGTCATTCCTTCCCCTGTAAAGCATGCCAACAAGGGATGTATCTTTCTACTCCGCTGTATCTTTCCCCTCCACTAACTGGAATGTGGCAACATCAGTCATGAGAGAATGTCTGCACAACTGGTAGTGGTCTAGTTCATGGGCTGGGGGAGGACAAAAAAATCACTGCTTGAATAATGTCCAGGGCCTCTGTCTTCCCCTGTGGCATGAACCCTCCATGTGTTTCATCCGCTACTGTTATGGGGGATCTGGTAACAGGGAGAATTGATTGTGGGTTTAGTCAGTGGTGCTTTTCACCTTCATACCATTTTCAATAAGTAATTCAAGTGGCAAGCTTAAACGTCCAATACTTTTTTTCTGGAGATCAGGTATTTGTTACATTTTGTAACCTTTTTTACTTGTAACTAGTTGGTAGCTATTTAGGTGGCGGCCAGCCTTGCATATTCATAGACCTGGTAACCAGTTGATGGCAATACAGTAAAGCAACATGTGTGCAAACTTAGAGTACTGTGTGTTTTCTTATAGAAAGACTATGTGCATCAAACTGCTTAATGTCGTCTTAATTTTATTATAAACACTTTTACTTAAAAAGCTCTTGTAATTAGATTCTCTTTTCTCCTTTGAGCCCTTTTTTCCCCTCTCATTTGATAAGAGAGACATCTAATTTTGAAATTCTCTGTAGTCCCCCTACTACAGCTAAAAAGCAGAACATTAACTATCTGTCAGCATATCTTAGTCTTTGGGAATAATTCAGTAATTATCTTCAAGTGCAGTTGGTGATGTTACACATTTGATGAAACACGAAGGAAAGTACTTTAGGGAAATAAAGCTTTCACTGTGCATTGTAGAATTGCAGGCAGGTTTTTTGTGGGTTTTATTACCTCTGGAATAATTGTGCTCTGCTTTTTATTGCAGTATCTACTAGAAATGAAAAGCTTAATTCTGCCCCCTGAACATATTCTGAAGAGAGGGGACAGTGAAGCAATAGCATATGCTTTCTTTCATCTTCAACACTGGAAAAGAGTAGAGGGGGCATTGAATCTCTTACACTGTACATGGGAAGGCAGTAAGTAATTCTCTTTCTTACAAAGGAGCTAATAAAATATTTTTATTGAATGTCATGAGAAAATAATAGCTTTTTGTGAAGTATGGTATGTGGGAATTTTGGAGGTCAGTTATATCCTCACCAGCACTGAAATATTTGAAATTCAAACTGAAAAGAAAAGCTTCATTTAGTGAGGAAAAAGGTTTTTGAAATCTTGGATTGTGTTTTCTGTATGACACTGAACAAAATTTCCCATCTTCTTTGTGACATATTTCCTTACTCATGGATAAGGGAATTAATATTATACCTTCCTCATTCCAGAATTGTAGAGATTTGTTTGTCATTATTTGAGTGCTTTGATACTGGGAAATTATGAAAGTGCCTTATAAGCAGGAAAAAAAACCAACAACAACATAAAATACTGTTTTGTTTTATACTGTTCATTAATATGTAATTGATAAACTGGAATGAGTCCAGTGGAGGACTACTAAGATATATAGGGGGCTGGAAGATGTGAAATGGGAAAAGATACTGAGTGAACTGGTTTTATTCAGCCTGGAAAAGACTTCTAGTAGGTAAAGGAGGTATCCAGTTGCTGTCTTCCTCCACTCAGTGCAGAGATAATATGAAAGACAGAGTCCAAGTCTTCTCAGAAGGGCACAGCAGAAAGACAAAAGGCAATAGACACAAGCCGCAGCAAGATAAATTTCATTTAGACGTGAGGAAAATGTTTTCAGAATGAGAGTGGTGATGCACTGGAACAGGTTGCTGGTAGTCTGCAGGATCTCCAACCCTGGAGATACTCAGAGCTCAGCTGGGCATGGCCCTAAGCAACCAGACCTAACTGTGAAAATAATCCTGCTTTGAGTAGGAGATTGGAGTCATATACTAATCTTCTAACCTAAATTATCTTATCCTGTCTTTGAGATGTGCTCTGTTCAGGTTCCAGAGAATTAAAAAATGCCATTTAGAATCAGCCTTCATGGGCTTTTTTTTAATGCAAATTTTTCTTTCTGTAATCCGGTTCCCCTGTTCTGCTCTGCTTTCTTCTGTTCTCTTTTAGCCTTTCCATACATTGGTATACCACCTTTTTTTTCCTTCCTCCATTTGCTGTTCTCATTTAGGTTTGTTGTAAAAGACACAGTTTGTCACCATGATAATTCTTACAGAAATGCACTTAATACCTCCATTGTAAAAGTGACTTACTGTCTCAGTCACTGTATTAAGTGGCCTGAAATTGCCTAATTTGCAGTGTAGGCTCCCTGAGGGAGCAATGGCTTTATTTCTAGGTGTATAGAATACCTTGCTCAGTAATCCATACAATTGCTGCCTGGGGTTTGCTCTGCTGCAATGTTCTCTGTCCTGCCTGCTTGCTCTTTTCCAGTCATTTCTCCCAGTCTATTATTTTTTCTGTCATAACTTCCTTCCCAGTGGCTCATTTTCAGTGGTTTGCTTTTACGTAGTGTTTCTGCCCTTCCAGATGCTTGCAGAAGTCCGTTAGCCCAAGGCCTCGTTATCCCATCATTATGGAGCTGTATTTGCAGGGAATCCTGAATAGATCTTCTTTTGCTTTGTCGGGGTAGGGAGTCCCTAAGGGGCTGTTTATGTGGGCCAGCTTTTGGCACAGGAGGCTGGCTGCCCTGCAGTCCTCCTGCCACGGAGGGAATCCAGTCATCTGTGCTTGAAGGCAGTGTAGGGCATTCCCATCCAGTGACATGAACAGATTCCTCTCCTTATTGCCTCCACAGCAATCTGAATATGTAATTTCTTAGCTAATATTTGTATAGTAGCCTGTAACGATGTAAATGATTATTGTTGCATAACCTGCAAAGAAAAATCTGTGATTCATTTTGCTCAGTAATTTCCAAGAGAGATGAACAGTGCACCAGTCCTCAAGAATTTTGTTCAGATTTTGCTCACGCATAAAGATTCCCATGGGCTTTAATGGTTTCATTAATATCTAGTCCAATAATCATAACTTCTGGCCCATATCTTAGTCTGGGTAATATTCTTCGTGGGTGTAGTGAACTACAAAAGGTTTCCTTAGCATCTCTGTGCAATTGTAAGTTAAAACCACTGGAAACATGACAGAAAAATTAAATTTAATTAAAGACTAGTTCTACCCAACAGTCAACATACAGTATATGGTCAGTTGCCCTCTCTTTCTTGGTATTTACGTACTTGCCATGTCTTTAAAGTGTACTATTCTGTCAGTATGCTTAAATAACCACAAGTCTCACTTTAGCGGCTTATATGTAGGAATTTAATGCCCGCATATATACACTACTCAGTTTTGATATTGTGGGAGTTGGGCAGAATTAAGTACATGAAGTCAGTTATTTGGGGGTACATTGTGAATGCTTCCAAGGAGAATAAGGTCACTCCTAATTAATGCAGCCTATAATGAAATTTATGCAGAGATGTCTTTGTGATATTTTAAACTCCAAAATTCTCACTAGAGTGTTTTTCCCAAACTGCATTCAACAATGGAGAAAAGTGAGATTATAAAAATAATGATCATCATCGAACTGGAATGTTGGTTGTTTCCTGCTCTGTCTTCATTCAGTCAGTCAAAGTACGGTTTTATTCATAGTACAACTAAAAAAGCCCAGGTGACAGCACGTAAAGTGTTGCTCTGGGTTTGGTCCAGGTGTTCTGTACAGAAAGTCTGTAGTTTCAAGTGTACCTAAGTTTCAAAAGAGTCTGAGATGCTTGTTCGTCACTGTCAGTTCCTAAACTTGTGTCATGTTTCCTGTTTGCATGAAGAAGAAAAGCCTAGGGGGTTGCAGATGCTACGGTAGCTTTTACGGCGAGCACACGCTGAATGGCAAACTGCCTCTGTGCTGCCTGAATTGATTAATGTAAAGCAGGATCAGATGGTATTGTAAGTGTAAGGCAGAGAAGTTCCTACATAAACACAAACTGATACAGATGAACCAGAGCACTTTCTTCCATGGCTGGCAACATTGCTAAATAAACTGTTTTGCTGTCAATGTTCCATATTTGGTCTCCTGTCAAAGATGACTGTTTAGATTCAGCAAAATCTGTTCAGAGGTTTTTCACTTATTTTGTAAAAACAACATCTTTACCAGCCCTTTCTATTTTGATTAGAATATTAATACTACTGTGATTTGGGGTAAGGCAGAAGAGGCTTGATTGTTTGTTTAAATATTAAGCCAAATTGGAAGGAAACACTTGTGTTAGTGATTTTGAAATGATGAGCATTAAACATGCCTTCACCTATGCTTTTGTACAGACTTTCAAGTTTGTTGCATGTGAAGTTCATACAAGGCTTGTTCTATTTGTACTTGGCTTTTTGGGGTGCTATTGGAGAGGGGGGGTTTAATGTTGGAAGACCATTACGGCCCAGGTTTGTTCAGAATCTCTGAGGATTTCTGCCTTCTTTACTATTGTTTTGAACATAGTAATCGAGAATAAATACACTCATTCACAAAAAATACAGCTCACATTATTTCAAATGCAGTGTGCACAACTGAAAATATTTGGGTATTGTGTATTTTAAACCAATTCCTTGGTTGCCTTGTGAGCAAGAGATAATGGAGTGTTATCATGTGGCGGTGGGCTGTACCTGACATCTGAAATATACAGTGCTTCTAGGACATCTGTTGAGGAAAATATTGCTTCACTGACTGATGTTCATAGGAGTAGTGAGAATAACACGTTGATGACATTTTAACAGTGAGAATAATATATAGGATAATGGAAAAGGACGCCTTGATTGCAAAGCTATAATTCAGTCAAGTATTCTGATGTTTCCATAAACCACACTCAGATGGCCTATGACATCATCGCTGTCCAGATTTAGTAATCCATTTCCCTCCCTCTCTCTTATTATTTTCAATTTTAAAAATGCATAAGATTAAGTATTATTTAATCCATGACCTGAAGATTTATACTGGAAACTGGACTTGATCTGCTACATTTGAAAAGAATGCATGTGAAGAACCTGGATTTAATAATTCAGTATTAATCTTTGATTGCCAAATATAAAATGGAAACATGACTGTGTTGGAAAACTGGTTCTCTGAGCTTGAGTCATCAGTGTTACCTGGTTTGCTGGAGTGTGATGGGAAAAAGTAGTGTACTTTTTTCCATGCGAAAGTTCTGTTATGCACAGAGATTGCGAGTATTGGCCTGAATTCACAAGCTTGGCTGGTCATTTTTGTACGCTGTACCTGTCAAATACACTTCTTTGCCCTGAAATTTTAAGATTTTGCAGCCTAAAAGCCTAGGACAAAATGTGTAAGTTTGGCGATGGAATTGTAAGTACAATGAGCTCTGATCGTGCAAACATGTATGTATGTACTTGTAATGTGGTCTCTCCTGACGCTCATGAACCTTCTCCCAAGAATAAAAATAAACAGAAGTGTTTGCAGGATTAAAAGCTAAGTGTAGATTTCTATTTTCGTATTTTGTTAAGCAATTTATATGCTGATTGCACCCAAATATATACGTTATGTTTTATCTATGTTTATTTTTCAAAATTGTAAATGTAGTTAAGTATGTCCAGTGACTGCCGCACTCACAGTAACGTGTGCACGGTGTTGTTTTCTTTTCAGCTTTCAGAATGATCCCCTATCCACTGGAAAAAGGACATCTTTTCTACCCTTACCCTATTTGTACAGAAACTGCAGATAGAGAACTACTACCATGTACGTTCAGCTTTCCTCTTCTTATTGTTGACATCAAAGAATCCTTTACCTGAGTCTTGCAGCACTGCTCTCCATTGATGCCTTTTAAGTTGCATACACTGGCTTAGAATAATGGGATTGACAGTGAGTCTCTGGAGCTCCCTTGATGGTTTAAGAGGCAGCTCTTAGCCATAGTTTATAATGATTAGCTGTCCTTATTGTTGTTGACAGGGTAGGGACAGGGAGACACATTACTGAGGAGATATAAATCAGTTAGTTCTTGCTATCCTTTCTTGCCAAGACACTGGAAAATGTGTCTGATGTTTCATCTAGGGTAACATCCCGTCAAACCAAAAGCACAGTGGCACAGCCTTGTTAGACACGGTAGCTACTGAAATTCCAAGGCAAGATGAAACCTGCTGGAGGATGGCTGGATCATTAACGCAGCTGTTATTCTGACAGGTTATGCTGACATCTTCTGAAAAACAGTCTTAAATAGAAAGAAATGGTTTTCTTCGTGTAATAGTGTGCGTGCTATTATGAAAAGATTGATGTGAAATTACCTCAGTCATTTATTATATATGTTTATGGCATGTATGCGCAAAGTGCCAACAGTGTTCCCAGTGCTCACAAGATACAGATGCAAAGACAGATGCAGCCCTTGGGAAGCGTTACAGCCCAGGCTAATGGGACTTCTTGCAGTGCATGCAGTGAAAGCACGAGAGTGCAGAGGAAGAGCCAAGGCAGCCGATCTTGTAAAGACTTATGCTTCATTCCCACGTGTTTTGTCGCTGAAGTCAGTGGGACTTTGTGTGAACACAAGTGGAACACACGCAAGTACGGTGGGTTTGCAGGGTCAGGGCACAGGAGGCAAACACAAGTCGATGCAAGGAGGGAGATTCTTCTCTCACCTTCTCGATCCTGGAGAAGGAATAAAGAGAAATCAGTTCTGGAAAAAGTAAAATGTAGCCTGCTTCTGTTGTGAAGGCCAATTCTGAGGGCATTTGCAATCTTTGTAGTCTTACATTCAGAACCTCTCTGATTTGGGCTGAAAAAATGTGTTGCCACTTTTTATAAACCTATGTGAGTAAACATTAGGTGAGAATAATACAGCGAAAATCCACTTGTTGCGAGTCTCCCCTTCACAGTACATTCTCGCTGATATTACACAGAAATCCTTGGCAACTGACAGTATGTCCCCACCCAATTATAATCACCCTAATTACAACAACACCTCTTAGAGTGCTCTGCTTGCTTTACTCCAAGGGATGCTGAGCCTAGGAGGGTGGAGTGTCAGGAGATTCAGGAATGACAGTGTCATGCAGAATAGCTCAACATTCTCTTTTTAGATGCAAAACTAACTGTTCTTGTCTAATGTTAGAAGAGACTCTTTAACAGCATATGCAGACAGTCGTGCTCTGCTCTAGCAGTTGTAGGAAATGCCTTTCACTGCAAAATCTCTTGGGTTTGAGTAAGGAAGGGTTTAACATACCGTGACAGACACAGGTTGGTTAAAGCGGGTTTGCATGCCTGTCCACACCCTTGAATTGCGTCTGTTTTAAAGGAGAATCAGCTGGAATTGTATCAGAACACTAAGATCTGATAGGCTCTCTGAATTAAAAATGTCAATAACAAAACTTTTGCTATCACTGGATAACAGACCAGAACATCAAGTTTGAGCCTGTGTCAAAAGCAAGTGCAAAAAACTGAACATAGGCAGTCTTAGACTTAGGAAGTCCATGGTCTGGTATTTCCCAATCTCTAAATTTGATTTAAATCAGAGAAAAGTTATAAATTGTCTGTGTTTTTCTTTTTAAACTGAATGAATTAGCAGACCCAAAAATCATACATATTTGCAGTTTGTAATATTTTAATTTAAACTCGTGCGACTTCCTGCTGTTGGTTTTGGAAACCACTCTACTCTGGAGGAATCTGTCATGTTGCTGGACTACTCTGTGCTGAGCATTGTCTGCAAGTACAACGAGGAGAGAGCTGTTCACTGAAGCAAAGAAAGTGGGCAAAATGAAAGAATAATGTTTTGTGTGTATAGATGGTCATAGGATTTGAGTATATGGGAAGCCTTGAGGTTGGTCCTATACGAGAAAAAATGTTTCAAAGTTTGCATTGATTGTGACTGTGTGGACTGAATGAGTGGAGCAGACAGGTGAGAGTTCACCAGAAGACCTTTTGCCAACCCAGCCAAATTTTCACCTTGAACCTAAGCCACCATGAAAGTTTAAGGGATATATTCTTCCACTGAAATACTTACTACCCTCTTCTGACCCTGTTAGCCTTCTCGGTGCTGCTTTCTCCAAAGCCCAGTGAGGGATTTTTCATACCAGAGTTGAGGAAATTTCTACATTCCTTTTAGTGTATGCTAACGAACACCTTAACAATTCACTATTAATTTAAAGTTCAGGTTTTAACACTTTAAGAAGTTGTTGTGTTGTTACAAGTACACAGAGAATTCTGAAAATCTGAATTTAAAGTGCATGTTTATATGTCCTACTTTCAGGGTCACCTTTCTTGGTTCTGCAGCTTAAAGCGTCAGAATTTACTGTTACAACGGCTGTAGTTTTGATCTACAGCTGTGCTTCTGCAAGGTTGGTCTCCCTGCTGCTCCTGGCTGCGTGTTTCTGCACTCTCTATGTATCAGCCTTAGCAAACATGCAGCCACATGGCTAGTCAATGACCTGCATAAAAAATCCGGGTGTTTTATTGGTGAGTTAGTTTTCTGGGGTTAGATGTTGCCCAGCTGTGTTATGGTTAGTGCTGACACAAGGAAGGCAAAAGTGGCGTGTACATAGGACCAGAGTAAGCTAGAAATAGGATCTTTAGGTGAGAATTATTTGGCAGCGAGATGACTGACACAACAAAAATGTTGACCTTAGATGTTTCAGACCGTCTATGTGCTGCTTCCTTCAAAAGCATCTTTGGGTGCCTCTGGCTGTTTAAACCATGTAAGAATATTGGTTTGGTTTTGGTGGTTGTTTTTTTTCAAGTATAATGCATTCCCCTTCCCTTCTTTTTTTCTACAGCATTTCATGAAGTTTCAGTTTACCCCAAGAAAGAGCTTCCCTTCTTCATCCTCTTCACTGCTGGATTATGTTCCTTCACAGCCATGCTAGCCCTCCTGACACACCAGTTCCCAGAGCTTATGGGGGTCTTCGCAAAAGCTGTGAGTATTCTCTGCTGCTGCTCTCTTCTGGTAAATAAAGACACAGATGCAGGAAGAGCTGAACTAAATATTGCTGAGTATTAAATATCTGCATATTCAGTAGTATAAATAAAACATCAAAAATGTCTGAGCAAGGGGACGTTTGAACAACTGTTAAGGGAACTAATCAGTAAACCACAGTACTGGCTGGCTTCTCTGGTTTGTACGGCCCTTTTGTTTGGCTAGATCTCTTGTGAATTTGCCAAAAAAGGCTTAGTGGGAGAAGGGAATATCTGTGTTTTCATATATAATCTGACAAAATAATAATATGATTTGCAGAACCCCTCTTGTTTTGTGTAGAGCCATAATGACTGTGCCGTGCTTTCCAGTGCAATAGAAACTATTAGTATGAGCAGAAATAGAGTGTATGGTTAACCACAGCAAATTTCTGCGTTCTTTCCCCAAACTGCCATGAAGGAAGTAGTCTCACGATTTCCCTCATAATTTTTTTTTTATTATTTTGTTTGTTTTTCCTGAAGTCATTGAAACACACGATCCCTGTTTGGGGGCTCTTTCGATGTAGTCTGGTTTTCTGATACCATTACAGTTAATGACTCTAAATCTGTCTCTGTTAGCCTTGTTCCTGTGCCTGTCCGCCTTGTATCCTGAACAAAAAGTGTGTCTCAAACTGGCAGTGTGATGAGATTTTGTACTTAGTGCTCCTGCTACAGGCAGTGAGCTACTGGAATTGGAGAAAATTGGTAACGTGTTTGCGTGGGCCTGACTCACCTGGCTTTGGTTGGTGAGTGATGGTGTGTTAGTAGCTGTTTCTCCATGGTTTGGAGCTTGCAGGTTCCAAAGCCACTTGAGGAGTATAGTCAGACCAGACGGATCTGTTTCCCTGCTGTGTAGGTGCAGCTGCCATTGCTGTTGATAGAATAGATTCCCCAGGACTCTGCACGTGGTGAAGAAGTTCTGCATATCAGAGAAGCTAAAGCTCCTAGTTAGTAAAATAAGCACAAATAGAATTGAAATGTGGGCTGCATTATGTGCATAAAGCTGGCAAGGTTATTCAAGATCTCTTAACCTGTATGGATGCAGTTACTTTTTCAGTTAACATGTATTGTGACTTGTTTTATCTATATCTTCATCTTCATAAACTACCACATGCAGCTGTTGAGTTGTTGTTGCACATGGGAGGGGCAGAATTTAAGCCTGTGACATTCATTTAGTCCCTCGTAGAAGGGTTTTGATTCAGAATACTCATTTTGTTGTCTCCTCTGGGAAAAGTAGCCCAGGTGTATGACACTGAAGAAAATCATGGCAGACATCTCTTTGAAATGCAGCTGTATCAGAACAGAGTAGAAGAGGTTGGCCAGCCCTGGCTCCTCCTTTCACTTTTAGGGAAGATTGTTTCATAAATAACTAGAAGATGAATGCACTGACTGTTGCTGTAGTTATGTGCATTGAATTACCTGTTTCTGCATGGTTGGTACTCGTCGTGATGTGGTAGATTACACTGTGAAACTGTGCACGTATGCTTTAATTTTGATGGGTCAGAATTATTCCTTGTCTTATGCCTGCCAATCCCAGAAGCATTGCACAGATATAATATCACCATCATGGCCTAGGCTTAGGTTACTACAAATTGATATTTACCATATTTCACAAAAACTGAATAGGTTAGCATGGGTGGGTGTTGGGAACTGGCTTTGACCTGTCCTCCAGGTAGCATCTTCTTGCACCTTTTCCATAGCCTGTTAACACAGACACTGGGTTCTTCAAGGCAGAAAAAGCCCTTGAGCACTGGGGACCTCTTCCATGTGTGAGACTGCCAGAGGTGGCCTGTGCCCCCGTGACAGTCCCTTAGGGCAGCCCGCATTCCCCTGCTGGATGCAAAACTCAAAGGTATTTTAAAGCTACTTTCCGATTCTGGGAGGTTCAGCACAGGATGGAGTTCACCAAACTGCATCAGTGCACCCAGGTTTTAGAGCCAGAATCTGCTCTGAGCGCTGCCTGCCAGCTCAGCGGCAAGTTTAGATACTCCCAACTGCATCCAGCCAGTTCTGCAGCGTTGTACCTGCAAGTAAGCTTGATTTTTCCCATAATGAAATTAAAAGAATCCAGTTCTTCTTTGATAGTTTTGTCAGACTGAATATAAGTAACTTTAAAATGACAGTCGATCTTAGCATTTTCACTCAGTTAGGGAGGAGCGTGTTCATAGCTTGTGGTTTTAATTTTTGCTAGGCTTTCTAACAAAAGGCTTTTGGAAGTCGCTTAAGAGATAGATACAAGCAGAACAAAGTTCTGATTGCATGGCTTGGATAAATTGTCAGCACAATGTTAATAGTATCGAATTTCTTTCACTGTCATGCAGAAATATAATAATATCTGGGAAGTCGTTAAAAATATGTAAGTTCAGGTCCTTTCATAATGTGGTAGCAATAAGAATGTATCAAATAAAATTGAGAGTTGTATTAACAAGGAGGTCACTATTTAATCAAGTCAACGGTTGTGTCTGAAAGCGTAGTGTGTAGCTCAATTTTTAAAATTAGTGAAATTTCGGAAAGACCAGTTCTCTGTTTTGATCCCGTTATTTGCCTGCTGGGAACTGTCCCTGCCCTGTGCTGTCCCCAAACTGCCTGGGTTTTGTTGAGGAGCGACTGACTGGCACGGGCCAGCACTGTGGCAGGAGCCGGGCTGGCAGTGGAGGAGCGTGGTTGGGGCCAGCTGGCACCCCGCACTGTGCCGCAGCCCTCCTCACTGTGCGGAAGGGGGCAAAGCCCAGCTGCCCCGGCTCCCTCTGTAGCTTCAGGCAGAGAGGGAAGGGGCGATCTCAAAGGGCAGTTCTGGGCCTGGAATGAGTAGAATTACCCTCTGGAAGTGCCTCTCTTCAGTGACCTCAGGGAGACCAGACCCTCACGTTTGCATCCTTGAAGTGCCTAAAGATAGGGGACAGGTTCAGAACATAAAAAGGGATATAAGTGTGTTTGTATATGAAGTCTGATGCTCTCTTTTATCAGGAGACGACTTCTGGGCAAAAAGAGAACACACCTAGCATGAGATTTACCTTAATACTGACCTGCCAAGCAGACTTCACATACACATCGGTGCAGTAAGCGGAGTTTGTACGTTTTGTGCTGAGCGCAGAGCAGTAACTGAAGCACAGACTTCTTACAGCTCTTTGCCGATCAGTTCCAGACAGAACTGTTTATTTTTAGCAAAGTCACCTGAATGGTTAGAAGCCACCAGGTTCAGAGTCTCGAGGTGGCTGACTTTGCATATCCATGTCCTGTCTTGTACATGTATAGGGCCCCAGTATGGCTGTATGTGATGCGTACAGTTGAACTGCAATTAATGTAAAGCAGTTAATACATATTTCCCAAAATTTGGGGAGTGCTTGAAGTACCTGAGTTCTGAAATGTGTAGCTGGCAGTATTTTTTCCTGTGATAAAATGGTCTCTACTTGTTTGATTTTTGTCATATATGCCTGTCTCAGCATTAGTAAATTGAAACCTCTTTCAGCATTGCCAACCGTGTTCTGTAATGGAGGGAGGAGGATAAGAGAAGTTCCAGTTAGTGGTGCCTCAGTGTATAGAGCAATCTGTAGATAACCCAGAACCATTTCAAACCTGAACCTAAAAGACACACTTTTTGTCTCTGCAAGGTGGTCTGAAAGATTCTGCCGTTACAAAAAAGCCTCTCTTTCCCTGCAGTTTGGTTTGAGCTTTTAGTGGCTTCAGTGTAAGCCTGAATCGAGGATGTGAGATCTGTGAAAACTTTTGTAGTTCGTCGCTTTGATCTTCATAAAAATGGAGCTCTTGCTTTCTTTACTGCAAAATCCAGAAATCTGTGTATAAGGCTCAGAATTTGGCAGAAAGTCTTTATTACGTGAATTACACAATTTCTGTCATGCTGGAGGATTTTACAGAGGGACACAGCGAGACTTTCTTGTCTTCTTGGACAGCTTTCTGTTGAGGTGTATTGTCTCCTGGGCTTTGATCTGAATGTGTATCTATCTAATTTCTTTGCAGTTTCTCAGCACCCTCTTTGCCCCTTTAAATTTTGTGATGGAAAAAGTAGAAAGTATCCTGCCCTCCAGTCTGTGGCACCAGCTGACGAGGATCTGAGGGAGCACGCCCGCTGACTGACTGCCATGACATCTTCTGTGCCAACTTTTGTTGACGACAAGAAAGCATGATAAAAAAGGGAAGCAGTTCTAAGACTTAACTCTTCATGGATTGTCTGTTCTCATATAAAAACTGTTTTTGTTGTACAAAATACATTGATGTTAGGTTCTATTATATTTTGCCTTCAGAAGAGAAAAACTTAAAAATAAACTTTTGTGTATTGCAGCATTGCTGTCTTTTGGCTTCTTCTTCAAAGCTCGGAATGTACTCTGTTCTTCAGTATGTGTGTGGTGTATCTGCTAGGGCTTGGTGTTCCATTCAGTTAATGAAAAAACACTAATAACTTTACAATTAAGTAGCGGTATCACTGCCTTTGCTTACAGAGTTCAATTGGGGTGATGCCCTTCCTGCTAGAGACAGTCTGATGAGGCTTCTAGACAGTTAAAGCTCGTGCTTAAAGCAGCTTTAGGCTCTCCAGGCAGTTTGGATGGCACGCTGGGCATCCGATTCCCATCCCTGCACAGAGGTCAGTTTTATCCTAATTTGAGTTTTCAAAAAGTCCGCATACTTTATGGTTTTCCCACTGTTATTTCAAGTACCTCCAGCAGCTCCATGCTTTGCTCTCTGCAGAACAAAGCATAAGTAACGGCAGAGAATTCAAGGCAAATTTAGCTGCAATGAGTGATCATTGCACGCATGCTCTTACGTATTTCTTGCTGAATTTTTGTTGCATTACTATTACTTTCCAAGTATGAAAAAGCAGGCACTTTTTGCTGTACAGATTAAATATCAGCATTATAAACTGTTGCTTGAGACCAGAAGCTCATTAGCAAAATTGGTTTTAGTTCATGCCCAATTAATAGAAATGTTGGTGTTTTGTCATCAGTGCTTACCTCAGGAAATCTTACCGTTGCCAGTTCAGCTGTGCGGTACCGAAAATGCTGAGCAGCTCGAGGGACTGCGATCACCAGCAGATCGGTTTGTTTGTCAATGAGGAAATGATGAAGCAAAGACAAAACTCCCATTATTGGAGTTGGTGTAAAAAGAGTTTCTTAACAACAGGTGATGCATTACGTTATTTTTTGCCCTCTTGATCACAGATGTGCCTGGCTACGTAGAAGAAAGAAAGATTTTTTTGTCCAAGTGAGCAACGGTGTTGCATTAAAGCAAGCATTGCTGTGCTATGAGGGAGAAAGACAGCCCCACACCAGGAGAAATCACTGTGAGGACGAGACCCGAGGCGGGACACAGCGATCAGAGAGCCCCGTGGCCAGATGTTAAAACTGGTGAGACGTGCCGCTGTTGGGGATTTCCGTGCAGGTTTTCCATCTCTGGCCATTATTCCTGCAAAACAATTCGCTGTAATGTTGAAAGTAGCGTGGCTTGCATTTAGTGTGGGATGCAGCGTAGGATTAGAGGGAGCGGATTGCTAGTGGGCAGCACGTGGAAGCGTGAAATGGGCCAATATTTGTGTTCTTGGCTTGGCATTCGAATTGCTAGAACAGGCACAGAGAACACCTTCGTAGCAGGTGCTCCCGTGTGCCTCCAGATGCCGAGCTAGGGATAGCCACAGTCACTGGTTTGCTTACGGCAGCGCTGTCAGAACTGGTCAAGGTTTGGTGACAATCAAAAGGTTCAGGCGGGGTCAGCTCTTGTTGTCCTGTGTCACTTACTCCCAGCCACCTCAAAAGCCTTTCGAAGTTCCGTTATAGGTACGCTGGGTTTCAAAAGAGCGAATGGCTGTGGTTAACAGTCCCGACACGGGTTTGCCTGTCAGTGTATATCTAGCTATATACAGGCGTCCACGTTTGTCAGCAACTAAGGTACTCGTTAGCCTCTTGTCAGAAGAAGAGATAATGTGAATTACAATCTGTGTGGGAGTTATTACCTGCGATAATCTGACAAAAAGGAATGCTTAACTCCTAGAAGAATCAGATCCTTCTCTTGAACTGTGGGGAGCTTTTAGGAACTCAAAAATATCTTTGTAAAATTCTCTTTCTACTATTTCTAGTATCTGTCTCCCTTATAAGCTGCAATGAGCCATGGATTTTATCTAGAGAATATCTCTTTAGCTGTAATTGTAATTCTAGGCATCTGGGAAACACGGCAAGTCAGACAAAAGGATTTTCTTCTTCATCGGGCAGAGTTCGTTGCCTCAGGCTTTTCTGCCTCCAACATGCTTCCTCTGAAGTTCAGCGTGGCTTGGATCAAAGGGCGGGCACAGCCCGTGATTATGATGATGGAAAGCCTCTGGCGGAGAGGAGCCTGCTGGAAATTCGGTTCAGATAGTAACTCTTCCAAATCTTCGGTTTGCAGATTTATGGAGAGGAGGGGGCTTTCTAAATCCCAATAGTCACAGTTCCTGGGTGGTTGTTTTTTCTTTAAAGACAACCTGATACAACTGGGCTGCACACGCTGCTTTTTCAGCGCCATAGCATAGAAGTCTTTACCCCGGGAGAAACAAAGAAAGATACTGGGATTTTTTGTATGTTGCAGAAGCTTACGGGAGGTGAACACCCAGAGGCAGCGGCGCGCCCCGCGCACCCCTCTTCACACCAGTGACACTGTCACCCCATGGAGGCCTTGGGAGCCACCGCCGCAGCAGTTAAAACACCCCATGTTTGTGATGACAGCCCACCAACTGCTGTCTTTCAGATGACACCGAGTTCATCTGTGTCCTTTGAAGTGGCAGGAGAAATGTGCGGGCTCTCACCTGTGGCCACAGAACGGCCGGGCCCCC